ATATATGTATATATATATATATATATATATATATATATATATATGTAGATGTAATTTAATAACATAGGATACGTCTTATATTCCATTCCCGCATGATACTACCGGGATATTACCGGGGTAACTCTTATATTGGTTAGTAATGCAGGAAATCTATCTCTCGCGGAAAATGTACATTTTTCCCGATTGGGAAGTAGTCTGCGTCAAACTACTTATACTTACTTAATATTATGCATGCGAAAGTAACTCTGTCAGTCTGTCTGTCTTTCTTAGACGCAGATAGACGACAGCCTGGGGAAGGACATAGGCTACTTTTTTAACGTGAAAAAGGGGTTGAAACTTATGTTTATAAATATTTAACTGTGAATGTGTGGGTTCTGAATGCTGCTTGTTCTGAAATGTTTTGTGAAATATATATGTTTATGTTGTTTGTTATTGTACTATAAGTGTTAGTTAAATAAGTAGCCCACGTAATTAAAATAATGCTTCGGGTAGCAACAGTATTTCACGCGGACGCAGTCGCGGGCACAACTAGTCTTTTAAATATTTTCACATGAATTTTATTTAGGTATTTAACATGATATAATATTATTAAAATATTTTTGTAATAGCATATCGTCGTCGAATGACTTCGAGTTGAAATGTTGCATGTTTTTTTAATTATTTCTTCATTTATTTTTTATTTTTATCTCCGGATACAATACACAATTTTAAGAATACAAAATATATATATATATATATATTGATATTTACAAAAGCCGTACGAGTAAGGGTCCTTCAAGAAGCAAACAAGCGTATCCGGATCTACAAGTAACAAACTAAGCGTATCTAAGAATTCAGAAAGGCATCTGCAGCAGCTAGCGACATCACCTGTTCACGGCCCCCTTCTCTCATCTCTTGTAAAAAATATAAATAATTACTCCACACCTATATCTTGTATGTTCAACTTCAGAATTTAACAGCATGCATGTGGCGGGAGGAACGGCACAGCGGAAGCGGGATAGCGCAAATGCCTTTGTTTTGAAGTCCGCCTACTAATACAGATTTTGCGAAGAGAAAATATATTTTAATATTTCATTCTAGGCAGAGAAAGTCGCGTGCAACGTAAAGCCTTATAACAAATAAGCTTTCATTGGCAATAGAAGAGGTACCCGGGAGCGGAGGGAAGAGTCACCCTTCCATACGATTCTGGGAAGATAAACCGAATTAGTTACATTGGGTCTTTTGAAACACGGAAGATCCAGTGGTTCAGTAGACACCGCGCCGCGCAGTTTCGTAGGGCCGTAGCCTAATCGTAGACGCAGCTACGTAACAGCGCAGCGCAGCGTTTTCTTTATTTACAGGATTTATACGTTGAATATACAATTTGAATTTAAATAACTAAGGTTACTTCGTATACAAAGCAATAAATAAACTCTGGAGAAACCGGAGATGGACGGTTTGATACGCATTTCATAGATGTGGCACACACAGGCACGCGTCGTTAACATTTCTATCTGTCAATGCCAAAGCCATTTGTTATATTTACTCGCACATCGTCAGCCGTATAGTCGCTATGCCTGAACTCACCGAATTGGGAATTTAAGTCGAGGAAGCGCGCGCTACGAAATCCCCGGCACTCAAGGACACAATATCGGTTTCGAAGATTTAGGTTGCCTTTTGTACGAAGGGAATTTTAAGTGATCGTGGAAGTAACATACTTAATCGCCTACATCGACATGCGTATGCTACCGGACACCTACGAGCGAATCTACACAACGAGCTCGACAACTTCGCCTCCACCTACATAAGTCGCCGCCTTTCGATATAAGGCCCTTGGTACACGATGCTACATAAATCTACGGAACCCGGCGATTTTAGTCGCTAAGCGACTTACACAATACGATGTCATAAAGATTGGTAAACGCGACGTCGATATATAGTTGAGATGTAGTCTAATAAGTATGCTATGCTTATATATATATAACGAACAGAATCGATTACTCGCGTCGATAATTCAAAGTTTTGTGTACGGGGAGTGCGCAACGCAATACTCGCCACGAAGGACGGGAACAATATTAGTTTCTTTGCAGGACCTCTCCTCTGCCACGACAGGACACCCGTCTCCTGACTTCTCTATTCAAATATAAAACTTGTACTATTATATAACTACATATGTAGGTACATATATATTTTATTTATGGACTAGGTACACTTCAATTTTAAATATCTTTTGTTAGGTAGGAAATTTAATAAGAGGTGCACGCCGAACAAACGTGCCGGGCGGGACAAACGACACGCGGTAACCGTGTAATGAAACTCTTTGCCGCCCGCCCCCGCCCGCCCCCGCCCGCCCTCGCCGCCGACCCTCCCGCCCGACAGAACTAGGCGCTGTTGCTCGATCTCATCTCGTGGAGGTGATCGGGCGCGCAGCCTCCTCTATTTTTTTTTTCAGTCGACAAAAATTGTGTAATGATCGGCGTTGCGGCGTCGCGGCGTCACGATATTAAAAGCTTCGATCTGTGCAACGGCTCGGGTGTGGGCGGGGTCTGCGGGGTGGAGGCTCGCCATTGGCGGCGGCCGCGGCGAGAGGGTCGCGCCGAGGCCGCGGCTGCCGAGGCATTGTATCGGCGGCGGCGCATCGTGCGCCACGTGCCAAGCCGCGCCGTGCCGTGACGTGCTGTGTCGTGCAGTGCCGCGCCGCGCCGAGCGCCGTGAGCCACATGAACAGGATGCTGGAGCTGTACGCGAGCATGGGCGCCGGGGTGGGCGCCGCGCTGCTGCCGGAGGGCGCGCCGGCCCTGGCCTGCGCCGCCAGAACAGGTCCGTTCACACATATTCTATTACTTTGATGCAAAGTTATCTATGACCGGTGTTTGTTTGGTTAACTATTGCTCATATCTACAGAATAAATCATGTATTTGCGTATCAATTTATTATGTGGCTTTGTAATAATAATTAATTTAATAAAATCATGGAGATATTTGAAATAATTGACCTTAACATTTTTGTTGATGAATTTTATTTATTTACGTATTATTTAAGTAATAGTCTAAGCATATTAAAATAAATGTATTGTCTGTATGTAATATTTAAACAATACATGATGAAATTGCGTAGCTGATAACGAAAATTAGTACAGATAAAACTTTAAAATTGTACAGATATTGGTCTGGTCTGTCCGCAAGGCTGCATTTGTTCCGGGTAAGCCCAGGAACGGCTAGACCGATTTAAACGGGGCTTTGATGGCAAGGGAGCTGATGAACGCGGGCATATTATAGGCTACCTTTTATCTAAGTTCTGGCTGATGAAGTCGCGGGCGACCGCTTGTGTTGACATGACATGTACTTAGAGTGTCGTAGATGAATTATTGAATTAAAAAAGATTGCGCAAACAGCTGCACATGAAATTCGACACGGTTAAAGTGAATGCGAAGAAAAAGTGTATAAAGCTATATTCAAACAAAAATAATAAAAAAAACTCTTTTATCATGAATTATGATTTAAATTATGAGCGTGACATCAATGAGTGAGCAATTGATAGTTCACATAGACATCGGCCCGCTGCTATACCACGACCACTCACGAGACAGCCGTCAAGTGGAAGTCATTCCGCGTACAGTCTGAAGAGTGTACCTGTGTGCCAGAGGCCTCATTTTAGTCCTCTTTCCTTCCCACCCTTGTCTTATAAAGAAGAGATTGGAAAGGGACACCTAGGAAGCGGAAATATCTTATTTCTATGCGTCACCTCCTTCGTCGATGAAAAGTGGGAAACGCATCTGCAATTGTGAAAGTCTATGGTCAGCGATCGCTTTGCTATACAGGTGGCCGCTTGCTCATTTGCCACCTCTTTATATGAAATAAATAAATACAAGTGTGACTACAGTACGCATCTAAAGTAAAACCTACATATAGATATGACGATATCGATCAAACGATCGCTGCATATGAAAGCCTCAAATATGACACAGTTCCGACGTAAACGCACTGTCGGGATTGTCGCCGCTAAAACTGCTCGATGCTGCCGCCCGCCCCCACGAGTGCCGACTGAAGCTGTTCATATGTAACGGGCCTTCAAATTTTGAATTAAGTAAGGTTTCCCAACTTACCAGCGGGCCGGAAGCTAAACGCTAACAAGTGATTAATTATTACAAATGAAAAATCGCGGGGCGCGGCCGTAGGGCGCGAGGAACAGTCGCGAGCGGCATCTTTTACATATCGCCATATAGACGCACAAACTTATCTGAGCCGTGGGACATATGTAAGTGACACTAGATTACAATAACTCATTAGCGACCTCGTGAATGTAAAAAAATGTGACATGATCCTTGTCGCAGTGTAATACAGGTTGGTCAAAGTAAAATGACATTAGCTATACAAAATCGGTGTAATGTGCGCGCTTCTATACATTTTCAATAGCTGTATAACTTTTATATATACTTGTAACGACACAACTTACCGCGCTAGTAAATTCTGTCTCACCGACTCAGATAAGTCCGCAGATTTGATATTTTTGTACATTTTAATATTTTTGCGACAGTAAAAAGCAACATATAAACAAAGGTTTCATTATTGAATCGCTGTAAGTGTTTTATAGAGGAAAAAAACTCGTGTTATCCGACAATGTGAACATGTCGGATAAATACAAAGCGGCCATACAGTTGTCCTACATATGTATTATAACACCCAAATTATATAAATTCACGTATGCATAGATAACTTGAGTTGTTAAAGCTTATTGTAATTCCTGTAAAGTAGCTGAAAGACATTCAAATACAATATGTATTTATACTTTATTGTTAAAGGAGACAATACATCAAGTGACTGAGTTTTCTCGATCATCGATTTTACTTAGACACATGTTACTAGTGAAGTTACTGTTGAAAGCTGAAACAAACCGACCTTAGGCGCAGCTTACCGCTGTCCATTGTTACAGAAAAGTAGAAGCAAATAGTACCCGAGATTACAACAGAACAGGCGCACAAGCGCACAAACGCACAAACGTACAAACGTGTGCGCTTTAAGTTTATATAATTAATAAAGATATCGGAAGGTCAGCCGCTCCGGGCGCACGTACTGCCTTATCTTATCCATCCCGCTGCGGAGATAACGAACGAACAACTCGCCCTCACTATATTAACTGTGTTACTTCAATGTATCTCAAGCAAACCCTCCCTAACGAATTTAAATTGATTTTCGCCTTACATGTGCCATCTTCCGATGTCGTGTTGATGTTTGTGCAAGTCAACAAAATACGCTACGACAATGGCTGTGCTGGGACAGTGTTACGGCCACGCTCACTGTCATAATGAAGCAGCTAACGGAGGTGTTTGTTTAGGGCTGCGCGTAGCCTACGCAAATCCCATGCAAAATAATAAGTATAAAATATCGACCTAATATATAGATTTACCGGTTTTAAGTTCCCAGCTATGAGAATAGTGAGGGGACCGGTTCGCAGCGCCGCCGACGGCCCTGTTTTTGGGACATCAATAAACAGCAGGATAGGCCGCGTTCGGTGCCCGCCGACATCTTGTTCCCGGGTGTGACCCCGACGGCACCGCCCCGTCCCGCCCCGCCCCTGGGCGTGCCCCCAGCGTCTCAGGAGCGTCTGAAATTCTCCTGATATTTTCGTCGCATCGCCGGTCTTGCTCTTAAGCTTATAGTTAGATATATCCCGAATTAACTGGGGGACCGACATCCGAGTTTCATAGACGCTTATTATGCGGCGCTCTCGGCGCCCCTCGTCCCGTACACAGCGCCCCGAACCCCGTACGCCGCAACCCTCAGCGACAAAATACTTCCATCATTTTATCCTTTTTTGGATAAGGAAATACAGATAAAACCGTGGGCCTATTTGACAATATACAAAGTAGCCAAAAATTCAACGGTAAAACAGTAATGGTGTATAGCCAGATCGATAACTAAATGGGGAAAAATACTAAAAAAAAATCTATCTCGTTCCGTTTAAGAGTTATTATACATTAACTCTTTTAACTTTTCTTATAACTTGATACCCTACACCATATGATTATATCTATACTGCACCCTACACAATATGTATAAAATCGACGTTAGTTGCATTTATATATGCATAGCTTTTGCACGAGACTTTGTGCGAGCGGAATTTAAAAAAATCAGGTTGATTTAGTTTTGTTTTATTGCTATTATGACTTTGTTCCCTGGTCCACCCTGGTCCACCCTGGTCCACCTGTCATTTTCAATTCAACATATCTTATGTTGCAGAGTTAATCAATAAATGTGTGAAAACAAAAGAATGTCACAGTGCGAACACCGCAGTAGCAAATATTTCTGGATTCATAGGTAGAGTAGAGTAGAGTAGAGTGTATGAGGTTTTCCACATCCCTCCTCTTCTACATCTATATCTAATTACATACAAACATACGTGGAGTCGTCATCAAGATACCTTCTAACAAACATACATTCAGCCAAGTTCGCATTTTTAATGTTAAAGATTATAATTGCAACTTACTAGCTGTCGCGTGCGACTCTCCACGCAGAAGTAAACACACACTTAACAAGTAGCATATGTGTTCTTCCAGACTAGTTCCGGACAGTGTTCTAGATCTGTGCTAAATTTAATCAAGATCCGTAGTAGCTCTACGGATCCCGGTGCGGTAACCCGGTAGTTAGAGGGAGGTATTTACATAAAGGAATTAGTTGTAATTAATCATTATTTCGTGTTGTAATCGTGAATAGTAAGTAATAGTTAGTATAAATATGATTTCAACATATTCATTTGTTTAAACATATTTTATCATTATGCTGCAGAATATTACATGTATTTGCAGTTGATGAAGGTAATCTTCTATGTATACATATAGTTCAGTGATGACAACATCACGCGCATGATGCGTTGTCATGTTTTATTCGTTAAAAAACCCTATAACTAGAAAATAAAAAAGAAATATATAATATATATGGCGGAGACAAATTTTAATCCTCTCCACCTGCCCACTCCTTTGTAATAAGGTCAAGGTGAGAATTGGAAATAAAAAAAAAACAGGGGAGAGAATGTACAGCAAAGGAAAATGGCCTTTTTTGTACAACCTCTCCTCTGCTCAATTAATGTCGGATACGTATCCGCTTCTCTTTCGCTTGTTGCAATTTGTTTTTTCGGCTATCACTTCGTAGTTTCCTATCATCTCGAATACATAGGCTACTTTTCATTAAAAGCCCCAAGAAAATCGGTCCATCCAGTTAGGACATTACAAGCAAGAAACGCTAAATTGCGGACGGACAAAGACAAATTTAAATTTGAATATTTATTAGTTATCTGAGATACAGACAGTCCAATGATATTATTTATCTGTATAAAGGTGTAAAGCGAGCGTTATATAAGATGTAAGTAAAGTGGCGAATGTGGAGGCGCGGCGGCGGATTGTCCACCCGCTACTCACGAGGGATTCGTTTCCGACAGAGCTGAGCGCGAGCATCAAGCGCGAGAAGATCGTCGAGATCTGCGAGGGCTGCGGTCAGAAGATCCAGGACCGGTTCTTGATGCGCGTCGGCGAGCTCTCCTGGCACGAGCACTGCCTGGGCTGCTGCGTGTGCGGCTGCCCGCTGGCACACTCCTGCTACACACGCAACGCCAAGCTCTACTGCAAGCCAGACTACGATAGGTAATGAGCCGCGAACTCTAATCTGTTGCGTTTAACTGTTACATTTTATAGCGAATTGTAGCGTAGCGGTCGCGAGCTGCTTTGCGAAAATCTATTTTCCTTTAATTACAGCTTTTTTCACTTATTTAAATTTCCCTTGTCCCAGGTTGTTCGGTGTGAAATGCACGAGGTGCGGGGACCGGCTGCTGCCGCAGGAGATGGTGATGCGCGCGCAGCAGCACGTGTTTCACATTCAATGCTTCGTGTGCGTAATGTGCTGCCAGCCACTGCAGAAGGGCGAGCAATACGTCATCAGGGCTGGCCAGATATTCTGTAGGCAGGACTTCGAGAAAGAAATGTACCTGATGCAGCACGCGGAAGACGATATGATCATCGACGATTCGGAGCGGCCGCGGGACGGCCGGCGTGGCCCCAAGCGACCCCGCACTATCCTCACGTCCGCGCAGCGGAGGCAGTTCAAGGCATCGTTCGAAGTCAGCCCGAAGCCGTGCCGCAAAGTGCGAGAAGCGCTCGCCAAAGACACCGGCCTCAGCGTTCGAGTTGTGCAAGTTTGGTTCCAGAACCAGAGGGCCAAAATGAAAAAGATTCAAAGAAAAGCCAAACAGGAAGGCGATAAAAACAATGAAAAAGACAAAGATAAAGATGAAAAGAATATAAAGCAAGAGTCGCCATCCAGTGAACACGGCAACTATCTGGGAATGGATAGTTCCTATTCGGCTTCAAGTCAACCATTGAACCCGAACCTGCCCTACTCGCCAGATGGTAAGATTTTTAAAGTATTGCATTTCTATGATTAAATCAAAATCATAAGTTCGACTCCTACTTTCGTAGACGAAGCATCGATATACTTATCACAGTTAATATTTTTTGGTTTCAGATTACCCTGCTCATTCCGGCGATAGCTTCTGCAGCTCCGACATATCGCTGGACGGCAGCAACTTCGACCAACTAGACGAGGGCACCTCCGATACCCTCAGCCTGCAGAACCTCGAAGTGCAGCAGCACCCGCACTCGGCGCACCCGGCACACGCCGCGCACGAGCCGCTCAACCTTGGCGCCGGTGCCCTCGTCAACCCCATCGACAAACTCTACCTCATGCAAAACTCTTACTTCAGCACGGACCACTGATTTAACTGCAACGCCGGCGCTGCCGCAACCACACCATGAAGTTCCTTTGCGGTTGTTCATCTCATGGGTAAAACGAAACCACAAGCTAAGAGGCTTCCACATAAGCAAAGTTGTAGAAGTGTGTAGTAAGTTACATCGTGTGCCTTGCTTGCTCATTTCCCGCACTTTGATCTAAGCAAATTAATGCCGAATGTAGCTGCGCGCAGAAACTTTACCGATGACTCTCCTACCCACTATCATCCAACCGCAACTCGCTTACGTTCCTCGCCTTAGTACCGCCATCAGTTAACGCCTCACGTCTTTAGCTCATCGGTAAAGCTTCCGCGCACAAGTAATCTGTTAAATCACCAATTTTATATATCGATACAGACAAAATACAACAAACACCTAATGTAAATATTTCCGTACATAATACAGTATGCGCATGTAACAAACATGAAATGAACATTTTCATAAAAGCCTGACCAGAAACATAGAACACCTCGCCATGTCATGTCATTTTAAAGATATATAAGCTGTCATAGCGTTGACATTGTTGATTGTCGTCGAGGTATGAAAGCATGGCGGGTGGGCGCGGCGCGCACATGATAAGTGCTAGATAACCTCCCTCAGTCATTGATTAAATTTGTATTAAAATGTGTGCAGCGCATCTGTCGGCAGTAAACTACACCAACAAATCTCATACTAAAGCGATTGACACAATATCCCACGTGCTCGACCCACACTTTACTTTGATGTTTTGTGGTAGAACACCATGGAGACTGCGGCTCCTACATGACAGGGTTGGTATATCACAAGATTTGTTTGAGAAAGTTCGGTTATTTTAATAATACGATGGAAATGTGGAGTAATCTTATGTAAATATTAGATCTTACGTAAAAGTTAAATTAGAAATGCGACTAACAAAGGCGGGTAGCTACTTACTGGAATTCAAATTAACTTGTACGCTGTACCGGTTTTACAAAATGTTTTAAATATATAAGTGATCGATGTTTCTAGTCATTTGATGTTGTCATAATGTTAAGGAGCGAACACGTATATATGTCGAGGCAAGGACATGGGCTTACGGGGGTAAAGGCGCAGAGGTAAAGGGGCAAGGGGGTGGGGGGAGGTTGCTAGTGAAATACATGCAGCTGAAATGTCCATGACAATATAGGTAAAGTGACAAAAAAAAGAAAAACTGACTTCCAATTAATTATTTTCAAACGTAACATAATATTTTTTTGCAATAATTCTCATTTTTATAAATACATTATTGGATAAGTTTACACGCCAGTAATTGAGGTAAAGTTTGTGACACGTTTAATGTTGTGTAGTGGAGAGCAAGGTAATACATAGACGCTGCTAAAAAGGCGCAGAAACACTTCACATTATTGTTTCCTTTCTATATATCGAGCTAAAAAGTGTTGCACAAAGTATCAATAGCTTAATAACAAAGATTTTATTTATATTGTAAATATGAATGCAAAAATGTAAATGCCTTCTGTGTGGAAATTTTGTATGAAATGTAAATATGTTTTATGTTAATTTAGATTCCATCTCTAATTACACATTAAACGATTTATCCCTGTAAAAATATTGTCACTATTGTTTGTTACCTCCGTTTTGTTAAAGATGAATAATAAGAGTAACGAGGTCATGTTTTATTCAGTCATATTGGTCTCAGAAAGCAACGATTAATGTTAAACATTTCGTTTATTAATACATAATATGTATTGTAATTATTGTGTCTGTCTAGTCAACGACGTGATCAGTGAAATATATTATTTATTTATTTAGAAAAAAAAGTAGGGATAGTAGTTTTATAAATTTATGTAAATTAAATGAGAGTAATATAATACCAAAGTGTTTTATTTCTTAAAACAATTATTATATGAATACATGAATATTAGGAAAACTTTGTCGTGCGGTGACGTTACAGCGGCACGACGCGTAGTTCACGCGGCAAACACGTCGTCGTCAGCAGCGCAGGATCAGCATCACCGCACCGCACCGCAACCGTATTATTATTATTTAAGTATTTTCCAAAAGTTGCTAAAAAAAATCACGTGATTATTGGACGACCCTCTTATCTCGTCCGAATTGTGCACAAAAACACGTTATCTGTGATCAGCGTACGAAGCTGGACTCTGGACAGCGCGCGTTATGTAACCACTGCACGAGATGTCACGCGGCGAGCGGCGTCCGCAGCGTGCTCATCGCTTCACACGGCTCCTACGAATCTTGTCTTAACACAAAATGCACTGTGTCTGGAGCCTCTTCGGTGTAGCTCGACAACGTCACGTCCACATATTATATTACAGACCAGGCTTCGACGACACCAAATACAATTTTAATATCGAATGAAATATATTAGGAATGCAATAATTAACAAAGATATGAAAATTATCAGCTTAGGCCGCTAGTTTGTCATAAAAAATATATTATCTCCATGGTGTTAACCACCTGAGGCGTGATCGGTGCAAAGTTTTATAGCCTTTGTTTGGGCTATTTTTCTAAGGCCGGTCGCAAACTATATCTACCTATCTAGGGGGATCATCATCATCATCATCATCATATACACTAGATCAGATCAGTTATACTGTCAATATTTTCAACACTGTTGTATATTAGATGATTGTAATAGTTACAACTTTCTTTTCCGTCCATATATTTAAAATTGATATTTTACTTATAAATGCGAAAGTTTAGATGAATGGTTGGAAGGATAGATGTATGTTTGTTAGAAGGTATCCCCAGAAAAATTTGGCACAGATATGATATAGTCTGGAAGAACATACAGGTTATTTGATATGTTTTTTTATTTTAATTTCAATCGGACGGAATCGCAGTCAAAAGTTATTTTAAATATTGAGTACAACGATAGTATGAAACATGTGAGGTGACACCGCATCACACGACGAACAACACACACACGCCCGACCAAAATCATTTTCCATGTGAGTGTCAATCAATATGTTTGTGTATACGAGTAGTCATCCTAACTCATGTTAACATCAGACAGTTGAAGTAACAGGCAGGACTTCAATGATACACGAGCTATCATTTCATTTTAATGACTTCCAAAGTTTTAAGAATTGTTTTTTATTTGCCATGACATTGAGCAACTACTAAATATTATAATAAAATAAAACAACAAATTACTAGTTTTGAAAATAACAGTCTTTAATAAAATCAAATGACAAAAAGTAGATAAACATTTTTGTAAGTTAAAATAAATTTTTACATATAATGGAGAGTTTAGTAAAAGTGTAAAATGACACGATCAAATAATGCATTAACTTAAAATAAAAACAGAGGCGGCCCGCAAGCAACAAAGACAGGAACATGGCGCACACCAACAAGGTGCGGATGTGCCGCAACTAAACTAAACTGAACAGACACACGTTCAACGCTCTCTCTTCGTCCTCTTTTGGTACTTGATGTAAATGTACTCTACAGGTTAGGCAAAATAACTATTAGAAAATCATTTTTATTGTTACTATAGCTTTCCTATATCTTGGATGGTCACTGCGCAGAACACAACTCTCGGTGTGTAGGTGTGTAGCATACCGCTTCACTTTGGCCCACCAAGATATTTGAAAAATATAATAATACATCTTTTATGAGACCTCACTGTAAGAGATAAAGTTGTGCGTTGGCTGCGCGGGAGAGAAGAGCTGTGTCGGTGAACTTTTATCCACATGTTACTTAATAACTAAATAAATAATTGGTTACATTGGAGACTAGACATTGGAGGAGTGAAGTGGAATGTACATAGTTTGCATGAGGTCGCCGGAGCCGAGTGACGCAGCGCGCCTCACTTCAGCTCAGACAACGTCTGCTAAATCATTATTGTATATGAGACCATATTTAAATAATTCAACTCTTATTTAATGAAGGTAAAGAAACCTTTCCTAACTTACTTTTACATTGAATATAATTCACATAATCACTTAGAGCTATATATTTAACTTAAAATATAAATTAACATGGGAAAGTAAACCATGAGATACAGAAACAGAGAGAGAGATGGTACAGATGGCATGGCAGATGACTTAGGATGATGCCTCCTCCTCCTCGCTGCTGCCTGTCCACCTCTGGAAGCAACAAGACAATTGTATATATCATAACTATTATATATAACAATACTGAGGGAGGAGTTTGCACGTGCAGCACGACTAGCCGACAACTGCAAGTCAACACCACTCTTAAACTTTCAATAAAACAAATGAACAAAAATATATTAAATTCCGCTCATGTTTGTAAGCTAATGAAGTGCATAATGTCAACAAGACCTCAAATTGTATTAAGCTTATAATGTGGACTACATCAAAAACAAAGTGTAATTGCACCTCAGATTCCGAGGAGAAGTCGCTGGGCTCTGTGCTGGCAGTGGAGGCGGGCTCCGGCTCAGACTCAGAAGGAGCGTTAGTCTCTGGCAGAGGAATGCCAGCATCTTCAAATGCCTTCTTCCTTAAAGTTCTTTTGATTTGCTCACTGTAACATAGCAGATATTATCAGAATCAGAGAAAGAATCACTATTTATAACTTGTGAATGGGACATGTCAATCAGTGACTCATCTTACTATATTGACTTGTTCATTTTATAGGTAATATAAAACTAACATAGTTTTGCTTTTAATGTGCAGACTGAGCTGGTGCAGATCAATGGCAAAGCGGTGGACGCAAGCACGCAGCATCTCCACCTCCTCCTCGTTCCATCTGTAACTCAAAACAAATTGGAAATTAGTGTAAAGAATGAATTTGTATTGTTGTTTATTAGTGGAGATTATTCTAATTTTTTTTTTAAGAGTATAAGTACTTGTGCTATTTAAACTTATAACTTCATAAAATATTTTTGTTTGGAAATGATCAGTTTTTGCCACATATTTAACATAAACAGTGGTAATGGTACTTGACATTTGTGTGTAGGACACATGTCAAGACAAGAAAGACACAAAAAAAAGAGATAAGTGGTGTGTAAGTATATTGTTAAAGTAATTGTACCTTGTCTGGTTATCATTCAAGTTGTGCATGTCCCGGGTCAACTCCGACAGCTTGCCAAATGCCGCACCCGCCTCCCAGAATATATGCGACAGCTTCAATAAAAATTATACATTAAAACCTTCTTGGCAACTGCTTTAAATTAAATTTGTTATACTTCATATTTTATCCCCTTCATTATCTGCAGGATTTTACTATTTGTAGACATACAAAATGTTCTATGTCATTTCAAACTAAATTTAATATTTTATAAATTTGTGTCTCACTCTCTTATCACAAATTAAGTGTACCGTGTGGCGAGGGCGGCTCCCTCAACTTATGCTTTTAAACAGGCTCAACAAACAAAATGGCTCCCCCATTTTGTTCTGTTTAAAATATTAGTTTTGAAAATTGAATTAAATTGAATAATGGAAAATCAAACACATGTAAATTCAGCGACCTCATATTGAGAAGGTCTCTTTCTGTGCCTCAATATCTGCTTAATCGATAAATGTATTGGAACATTCAACATTGGTATATTTATTGAATTTGAATATTGTAATTATAGTTAGACTAATTTCAAGGAAATATTCGACTTGCCTTCAATGCGGAATCACTCATTGTCTGGTAGATTCTTCGTCTAAGATCTCGATTTGGTTTTTAGGTGGCCTTCGAAGTTAAACGTAGTAACAAGTGACAAGTGAAAATTTAATACAAAATTAATTGTGCGCACACAATCCAAAAGAAGTAAGCAAACAAATATTTCTAAAGTCTGCAACACGCACTATGACTATATCTTAATTACAGCAGCTCGAAAATGTTAATGATAAACTGTAATTTACTGAAGTAAATTTTTGAATTGGTTCTGATCACCCAACCACTGATATTCTATGGATAGGTCGCTACTTTACAGTCAAAGATTTAGTTGGGATCCACACGAAAGCCCCAGTTGAAGTTACTGCAAACTAACAATTCTATTTGTGTGAGGATTAGTTTGAGTTTCCAACACCGATGACAAACGCAACCATCGGCGCCAATATGGTGAAAATCACATAGGCACAAAATGTCACGGCTTTTAACCTAGTCAGTATCATAAGTGAATTCATCAAATCAACGACCCACAGACACGTAAAAATTATAGGACGACAGACGACAGATCCCAAAATTGCCATAGACGTAATAAAAAAACTTTATTAGGGCTATAGTTATGTCTGGGCCTTTATAGGTATCCCAAAATAAAAATATAAACTTAGTTCTTTCAAGTTCTCTGCATAATTTTTTCTTATTATATTTTTTTACAAACTTATGTGTAAAATGAACGATTTTATATTATTACGACTTTTTGATGTCTGTCTCCAATACAATACCACCAAAGCGCCATCTAGTAGTACGGAATTACATTAAGATACATGACATACTTAGGTAAATCAAACCAATATGGGTAAGTCAACTAAAATTGATGACCTGCAGATCAGCTTACGGTTCACATGTGTGAAAGAGATCAGAGAAACGGCTCGCAGCTCAGCTCAACTAGAACCTGGCAGTTGTCACCATGCAGCTTGCGGTTCCTCGCCCCACTTAGATATAATACATCGCGATGAGCAGAGAGCTGCTATTTTAGTTGTGGATCAGCAGCTCAACGGTTCGAGTCTCTGTGACCTGAACTTTTGAACTGGAGTTGAATTACACACTTCCAACCTTAATTTCTTGTTTAAGTTCTAGCCCCATGAGTTATGGTTATGGGGTGGGCTTTAACAGAAAGATCAATAGAGGCTAGAGGCGGGCTGGCAAGAGTGGGCTACAACCCGCTTATCTTGTATTCTGTTTAGGATCAAAGCCTACCCACCTACAAAGAGGCAAGACAATAAGTCTCTGCAGATCTATTTTTGTGGAAGAAATCATGTTTGGTTAAGAAATTTATTAAGAATGTTTTAATAGCTAATTTTATAATCAACAATTTTGATTTGTTTTTCATTGCTACTTTATAATAATCTTCTCCTAGTGCAACACTCAAACTTTATGATATTATTAATGCAAAAAAAAAAAGAGAAATGCTCATTTTTATGTTATTTTACTTAGTATATTTTTGGAACATTGTAATTTTGCACCCACGAGGGTAAACTTTTATTACTTTTACACATTTTTGAGTGTTTATATATCGTTATATTTCAGAAACGGTGGCTGATAAGGAAAAGTATTCATGCATTTATGTACATAGTTTATCTACAATTTATTGGCAAAACTTACCGTCTTGCAGAAAATCACGAAAAGTTCATGATTTGACCTTTGACCTTTAAAATCCTTTGAATATAAAGGGAAACATTAAATTAAAATTAATCTACCAAAATAATACTATAAACTATATACTAAAACTAAGGGAAACATTGAAATTTAATTTATGCTAGGCTGTGGCCGCGACTTCTTCCGCGTGAAATTCTGTCCTTGGCTTGGATAGATTGGTTGTATAATCATTGTAAAAATGACGATACTTGTACAACTGTATACAACCGTTGCGTTACAAAGTATCCTATGTCCCTAACATCAGTCTGTATACTATCTGTTCATTTAAACAATGATACAAATACAATGATGATGATTATAAATCATTATAGCAGTCAGCAGTGCTTGAGCAGAGCACGTCACGTCACGTTTATGTTGAATAATAAGACACAGTTGTCCGTAGGATATATTTAATTTTGTCTAACTACATTCATATCGTTCTTATAATAATTTGTTCAACATTTATAAAACTCAAATATGAAAAGAAACAACACAATTTTTAGCATAACATATATATATATAGTGGCATTTGTTAACGACATTTTAACAGTTTACATAACGGAAATAATCGATTTATTTATCTCTGATATAAATAATTAATTTTACAATACAAGTGCTATATATTCATAGACATACACTTGTTACAACACTAGCAGTCGCCAGCGACTTCCTCAAAGTCCCCTTAAATCTGCCCGACCGTTCCTTGCATGACCCGGAACAAAAGCGCCCTTGCGGACAGACAGAAAAACGGAAAAACATTTTAAAAACTATTTTTTCTTTGTCAGTTACGCAAATATATTATGTGTACGAAATATATCTATTTATTCGATACGATACACACAGACACTTCAATTTTGTTAATACGTATAGAGGTTTATACACATAGAATATTGGGAATAACCAAGGTGGGTAGGCAGAAATTAGGAATTTCCGTGTGGCGAGCTCGCGCTCCTGACACACGACTCTGCATTTCTTTGACATTTGTAAAAATAAAACAGCTTTTATATTATTGAAGTTTCTCGAAGTATCAGAAATTGAAGAAACACTTGTGCTTTATCACAAACTTATCTTCAAAAGTGATTGTAACAAGGACAAACTGTTTTATTTAAATCATTCATCTAATTTACATAAAAGTCAACGAGTCAACGAACACTACAGTAATACAGTAATACATACAGTCAAACAATCACAAGCTTTCCTAAAATTAATTTAGAGACAAAATCTGGTTCATATTCTACTCACGAAAGACAAACACACGCTGAAACATTCTTCTACCCCCCCCCCCCCCCCCCCCGCCCATACACACAAAACTTGACACGATTGAGACACATCTATAGGGATGCAGAGTGAATTTCTTAAATCTGGCGACAACGTAATATGTTCCTATTGTAATGCTAATCGCTGTTGCAAAAACTTCTCACTTGAACATTATTAAAGAGATTCAAATATTTATGCGGTGAAATTAAAGTATTCAAGTGACAAAAATTCGCAGATCTGAAAATTGATTTAAACGTGAATATGAAGAGTCCCAAACGATCCAGGGGATCTTTGGAAAGCAAATAAGTCAAAGCACAGCTGTAATCACTGGACTTCTTCTACTGCATAGACATACATTTTGATTCCCGATGGAAGTATCGAAAGCTTTGTGGAGGCAGAGAACCTCAATATCAATTGTTTAAGTCCAATAATATCCCCGTGGTAAATGCGGTAAAAATGCAGAGGGAGTTGACGTCCCTCCGCAAGGCCAGAGAATCAATGCGATCGGTAAGAGCTCGCTCGTTGAGGAATATTTGGTCATCGTCACCGTTATGCCACCGTTGTCTCATTCTCTTACCATTAACAAAATAATAATAAAAGTAGTAAACATTTTCTTAAAATGTAATTTATTTTCCTACATTTGGAATGCTGTAACTATTTTGTACGTCAAGATTTTTGGTTCGAATTTTTTTAAAGCTATAACAGTCATTCGCCTTGTTTTTGTTATTCATGTAAAAAATGAATTAAAATACTTAGTGGTAACAATCTCTTGTAATTTTCATACAAAATTTATGAAAGCAACATTTATAAAGGATAGCCATTACTTTAAATAACAAAATTACAAATATTTACGATTTATTGAAAATAAATAAATAAATAAGTATAAATGTTTTATCTCCACAAAGCTTTTGATCCGTCCTTTAAGTATCACATATATATTTGATGGTGGGTGGCTTCTGAAGTCGCCATTTATTTTTCCATAGCCCTGCTTCTGAATTCCTTTTATGTATTCGATAGTGTTTATGGTTAGATAAGTTCTTGAAAGGCGATTCCGAGCTTCGTATGTTATATGTTGTACTCTGATGAAAGTTATTTTAGTCTAGCGACTGTGTAGTGGGGAATATATACATTGAATACCGAATATAGCCGGTATTTTATATATTTACAGAAACTACATTTAACTTAGTAACTAAGTACATAGTGCAATCTTGTATGTATCCATTAATTTTACTCCAACATCGTATATGTATATGTAAATATGTATGTAATTGAATATTAATGTATGTTTATGGTATATCTATTGTTGCATATTGTACGTACTACCTGATGAGTGTTAAATGCATCAAATGTAAGTGTATGTTACGGCTAAAGTAGGAGTCGAAATAAACTTAACTTCTGCTTGGTATGCTAATGTTGACATCTATAATATCATGTACATTACCGTAACATACATGATGATATATTTAATATATGTAAATGTGGTTTGCCACTTCAAAGTCTGGTCAAGATTAGCGACATTAAGGGGTGAAGCTACAATAATTCCAGCGACAAAAGTAATTATAGCTGACACTTAATTGGTAGAAATAATATCAGAAAACAATATCATTGTACTAGAACACTGTAAAGTACCTGTTGATCCCGCATTTGGAAAAAATATATTCAAGGTGTTGCGCGATATAAGTTTTATAAGAAAAAAAAAAGATCTAACACTGAGTTGTAGATCATAAAACTATCCTTAAAAACTTGCAGGTGCTTACTTATGATACAGGACTACCAATTGCAGGATATTAGTTAGTACCGTTGAAAGTGTTGACGCATTGATAGTTATCACAGTTATCACAGGCCAGCAATTTTAGCTCTATAAGAATTATTGTAGTTTCATCATTTAAATTGACCGGGTATTGAAGTATTCAAACGATGTTTAGTTTAATACAGATAACTAAGTAATGAGGAATAATTAAATGAGAGATTCAATTCAGAGATGGCGCGTTGTGTGTATCGAGTCTGGGGAATTGGGCGTCGTTATCGTCCTCGGCCTTGGGTATGTCGAACACCTCGGCGAAGAGCGCGGGCAGCGCGAGCCGGCGCCATTGCGCGCGCGGCCACCACAGCAGCTCGTGGTGCCGCCGTCCCAACGCGCGCGCTGACCGCGCCGCAGCCGCGAACGCCGCCGCACGACCCTCCCGCGCCTGTCACACAACGTACCTTCATCGCTTTACATCGAATGGCCAGTACACGTATATTTTAAACTACGGTAAGTACTAACCTATGTTATGATTCCAAATACTTTTTTGCAAGCTCATGAATTCGACGCAATAGCGGAGCGACCGCTGCCTTTAGTCAACGAAGAATATGACGCAAAGAAAGAGGATAGTTGCCCTCCTTATTCGTCCCTTCCTCCGCCATATCTACTTCCCCTTCCCATTCTTTCCTTGTAAGGAACGGGTGAAAAGGTATGCATACTCATCAGACTAAATGGCGGGATAGTTCCACTTCCCGCCAGTTTCCTTGGAGTCGTGTTATTTCACCGGGCGAGAGGGCGGACCATTGATGCAACAGACTTTGTTGTTGCGGACGACTACCACTATTCAAATTTATTTCGACTAAATTGATAGATTAATTTTTGTACTGCAGTAGGAAGTTAGAGGGAATAGTTTGAATGTGCTCACGAGGTGACGAAGGGCGTCATCGAGGGCCCGGTGCAGACGAGCAACGCGGTCGCGCGCGGCCAGCGGCGCGCGATGTGGGCTGAGCAGCAAGCCCGCCGTAAGCAGCGCCAGCTCTTGCTCGGAGGCGCGCAGCCGACGCAGCGCCGCCACGTACGCAAGCGCCGCCCCGGCGAACTCATGCTGCGTCAAACAAGCAACTCACTTACATGTACCTTGTCTCGTCGCATACACGTATAATTAGTTATGTATCGGTTAGTAATGTATGTTTCGGCTCCTTCCTCATCACTTCTTGCTAACATTTATACACATCAGTCACGACTCGTAATGTTGTAATGCCTAATTTAAAAAACTTCCAAAGATCATAAGATAAGTAAGATTAGATAAATAAGTAAGTAGTAGCTAACATCATAAAGTATCTCGAGGTGGTGGTGCGTGAAGGCGGTGCCGTCGTCGAAGACGAGCTGCGCAGGCGTCGACAGCCGCGCGGCCCGCGTCAGCCACACCTCGAAGAACCCCAGCTGCGAAAAAAAAGAATCGCTGTGCTGAGCTGCGCTCAAATAAATGTCCGCAAATACACTGTTACCTTTGTTTAACGACACAGAATTTGAGGGATGACAATATATTTCGGCAGTAAAAACTCAGAGCTACAAACAAACATCACAACATATCGCAACAAAATATTTCTTTCCAATATTTTTATAGCGTAAAGAATCATTGATATCGAAAAAAGTTTCTAATACATTCAATAATGATTTAAATAAAATTAACAGCAATGTTACCGCAGCCAGCGCACCACATACACGTAGAAATATTTACGGAACTATTACCGCAAGTGATTCGAGTTAACCGCTGAAATTGCACAAAATTGCAGACACTCGCGCTGCGATGCGATCTGAAGCCTTTGTATCGCTTAGCAAAAAACAACTATGTGACTATATTCTTTTTCTATCTGGTGCCCTGCACTGATACGATTCAAAAACGATACCTGAGTAAGCATTACCTTTATAAGTATAAGCTGATCATCCTGAGGTAAAGCGTAGAAGCCCGGGAGGCGCTTGGCGAAGCCGACCACCTCATGCACATGCGGCGTCATGCGCGCCGCCAGTCGGTGCCACAGCAGCGCTGCCTCGCCGCTTCCTGTTCCATCACCTTTAAATTAACACATTTTTTTTATATCATAAGGTGGCAAACGAGCGAGTGACCACCTGAAATCGGTGAAATAGCGAAGTGACCTACCTTTAACCGACGGAGGAGAGGATGCACAGAAAGAAAAGATCTTCCCTTCCCATGCATCCTCTCATCCGGAATGTCCACTTCCGCTTTCCATCCTTTCCTTATAAGAAAAGGGTGGGAAGGAAAAGAGGATTAGAATTAGCACACTCATCAGACTGTACGCGGAATTGCTTCCACTTGACGCCTGTCTTCTGTGTGGTCGTGGTATTTCACCGGGCGAGCCGGGACAATTCGTGCGAACATGTTAAAGCGGGCTCTACCACTGTTAACATTATTAGTGTTAATTAAAATAAACGAAAGAAGTCGAGTTACAGTTACAAGTTAATAAAAATGTAGTAACCTTCGTTGTCGAAGTCGTCGAGCACAATGATAGAATGGTTGTACAAGGAGCGGCGCAGCTCATCCGTGTATGTGTTGTTATTGCAGTGCGCGGCAAACACAACCCGCGCCAGCTCTTGCGCCGGCTCCTCACCACCGCCCTGCGCCTCCGCATCCGCATCCACCCCAGCCTCCGCCCTCGCCTCCAGACCCAAGTCAGCCTCCCTGGCTCTGGGCTCTGGACTAGTTTCAGAACGAGCCCCACCGAGTGTCACGGCTGGAGGCTCTGCCGCTCCCGAGCCCGGTGCCGCGCTTGGTGCCACGCTGGATGCCGCGCTTGGTGCCGCGCCTAGTGCCGCACCTGGTGCCGATCCTGGTGCCACGCCTGGTGCTGCGCCTACGCCCATCTCATTCTCTGTATGCACCAGTTCAGGCATGGTGTCGCACTCGCGCGACCGCTTCGGCACTCGACCGTATCGCACCGCTGAACAAACGCACAAAATATCCCAGATTCAAATATAACATGTTATGTAGTAGGCACAAAAAGGCACTAGTTTCTATCACTTCGATATCATCCTGATACATGGATGCTATTCCTAGTGGTGGTGGTGGCCAACGATTAGCTTGTTATATACATAAAGTAATCAGTAACAGATTGAATTGGTGAGGCTAGATAGTAAGAGCTAGGAACAGAGCACAGAGAATTAACATGCGGAGGCTGACATATTAAGTACTCACAGTCGCGGCTCATGCCGACGGCAAGGCACTTTTTGAAGCGGCAGAATTGGCAGCGGTTGCGGTTTAGGCGGATGACGTGGCACTTGCCGTCGCGCAGGCACCTGTACTCGATTTGCTTCTGTATACTACGCCGGAAGAAGCCCTGCAAAACGACCGACCCTTTTCATTCCCTGCGCTTGCCGACAACGCGCCACTTTACTTGTCAAATGTTAGGGAGCAGAGAGTACGTACCTTGCAGCCCTCGCAAGAGGTAACGCCGTAGTGGTAGCCGGAGGCCTTGTCGCCGCACACCCTGCAGGGAACGGCGGCGCGAACCGCACCGCCTGCGCCCGCCGCCGCTCCTCCGCCCTCCGCAGCCTGTACTGCAATCACAAATCACCTATTATTCAATAACAAGTCCTGAAAAGTACTTGCAGAACTGTGTTATCCCTGAAGCGTGGAGTGAAACTAATTCCGCGTTTCGTCTAATAGATAGATACGATGGGTCTGAGGCCTATCCAGTACTCTCTCCCTAACCAACCTTTTTTAATAAGATAAGGATATACTAGATACTGAAAGGGGAAGGAAATTTGGCGGGAATGAATGTATATAGAGAGATACTTTATCTGTACATACTTTTTTCCGGTCTTTAAAAGTAAGAAACTGATGTACCATCTATCTTGTGCACATAGAAGTTATTTGTGTGTGTAGGGACACGGTGACCTGCTATTTTAGCAAATTGTAGCAGCTGGCGGTATGCTCCGATGTGATCTTCTCCTAAAAAATATGTACTCTCTTTGGGGACTTCGAGAGTCCAAAGCTTGTCGACGTGGGCTAATTACGTCGGGATTCTCACCAAAAAGAAATTAAGAACAGTCAAAACGAACATTTGGGCGATCCGGTAATGCAGCCCTCAGATAAATTCGACAATGAACACAAGACAATAAGTTTTTATGAATAAAACAAATTAAGTATATTTCAAGTATAACAGTTGTTAATGTACGGGAACATTATAACGATAAAAAGGCGAAATAATAAAAGTATTAAAAATTATAACTTATGCCAATCTATTCCCAATTTCACTTCGATTGATCATATTTTCGAAAAGCGGCAAAAACGGGCGACGGGCGACGGACGACGGACGACGGGCGACGGGCGACGGGCGACGGGCGGCAGGCGGCGGGCGGCGGAGGCTGCGCGACGTTCCATGCAGATGGACGATAAATAACGAGTTACATAACCGGGTGGTGCTTTCTTCCGCGAATTGCGTTCAGCGCGGAACGACTCGCGATTCCCGCGCCCCGCCACCCCGCGCGCCGCCACACCGTCAGGGCTGCTCAAGATCACTAACCACACCAAACTATCACCATAATTAGTTCCGATGCTGTTCAATCAATTTGAGGTAAGCTATACTATTGAGGATTATTTATTACTAGTTTTATAGTAGAATTTAAAAAATCTAGTAATAAATATAGCCAATGTCACCCCAGGACAGTGTAGCTTCCCAACAGTGAAAGATTATTTTCAAATCGATTCGGTAGTTTCGTAGCGTATTTAATGCAAACAAACAATCAAATCTTTCCTCTTTATGATACGGTCCATTGCGCCGACGCGGCGGCTATATTACTGCCCCCGTGACGAAGTCGGACAACGGCGAACCTTACCATCTGATGAGACTGGCAAATTGGAACTTAGTTCCGAAAGTCCGGTCACATGGCGCAGTACAACTAGGCCAAACAAAGGTACATATATGTTGTGTCAGTAATGGCAATCGTAAGTATAGCTATAGGAAGGCATAGGTCGAGAATTTCTAATTTAGTGTTTTGTATACATAGTAAGTGTCAAATTAGCAGAGTTGCGGCATCGCCATGTTTGTTGCGCAAGCTCTTCCCCACTGGACCGATACCTCACATGCAGTCAGCCGGCGCTCGATAACATATCTGTTTATCTCTGTATCTCAAGATCTCACAGCCGACAGTTTTGGACTGAGCCTGTTTCAGTGCAGAGTAAAGTACAGATTTAAGCATCACCTCTACTCCGAATGTCTTAATCCACCGCAGTTAACTTTTGGTTAGCACCTTAGGTGCTGGCTCTTGCCACTTAACATGTGCAATTTACCGTAGACATCGCAAGTGAAAGGAGTCACGACGTTTTAAGCCATATTTATAAAGACATCACGTCTCAGCTTTATACACAGTGAGCCCAGTGTGCAGCCGAAAGCCATATGAGTTCCAGACTCTCGTCTCTAGCTCGCCGAATGCTGCAGCTGCCTTTGCAATTCTTGAGTGAGTAAAGAGTCACGACGTTTATTGCTCTAACAGTATCACTTTAGGATACATTAGTTCGTATTCTAAGTTATTTGCACAGCCCTAAGAAGTTTTCAAAGCGACGATTGCAGTTCAACAAACTGCGCACGAGTCGATCGTTGAACCTGTACAAACCGTTAGTCCATCTCGCTCGCACGCAGCGCAGCCCTATGCTGAGTTTCTGTTCATTCTATGTTATAGGATATTCGCCTATTTCCATTGCATTATTGCTTTCCAGCGAATGTCTGCAGACCGGTAAGCTTGCACAGCGCAAGTTTACACGTCACGGGCGTCGCCTTTATCATGTAACCACATTACATTATCACCTCATTGTACTCTATCCCGTTCCCGTTGATGACGATCTTCGAAATTCAAACTTATCCTTTATCTTGAGGGAATTTCAGTAGTATGTAAGGCAGTGCTAGCAAACAATACTCTCCGCACTTGGCGCCTCGCTACCCGCTACCTGCTACCCACTTCCTGCTACCTGCTACCCGCTATCTGCTTGCGCTACTGATTATTTTTACCGCGTTCTTCTATTAGTTTAAAATCGTATTTTTTTAAGTTTTTGTAATTTACAAAAACCTGTTCTTCTTCTATCAGACTTGTCCTTTGCAACCAGAAAAGAATGGAAAAGAGGTAAGGAATATAATAAAGCCTGTTGCCACAGATCCCTGCATCTCGCTAGTTGGACATAACACAAAATGTAACTATTTGGCGCGTGTCTTTTATGAGGTTCGTTCATACTACTGATGTTCCTACGTACTCTAACACTGTTGGTAACATCTTGTCTACGTCTACGGGCACATCCGCCTTCTTATTGATTACACAGGTACCTATTCAATATATGTAGCTATTACGTTGACTACAATATATTACAATAGATGCAAACACTAGTCTCCTGACTAAACAGTTACCAACCAACCAACTAACCGAGCTCAATATGAGGACTCCGATTTTTATTTAATTTTTTTTTAAATAAAACTTTATGTACTATTGTATAATATGTTTTATATATATATATATATAGTAATAATATTTCAAAGCTTTTTAATATATTTATTTGTGCTGGTAAAAATGCACTTACAATATTTAAGAACATGCAAGGAATGCGTCATCACATGTCAAACCTTAAGTTTCGCGTTAAAGCGCACTCTAGCGAATAGAAGTGTTGCTGCTGCTGGAGCGCTCTGAGCGGCGCTTGCGCAACACCTCGCCGCGCCGGGTGGGTCATTGACTTATGCTCTGTCCTCCCCCCCCC